CCAAAGGATACCTCTTCCCCCTGCCTGCAGCAGCTTGACAGACTCGCACTGGCTGCAGAGGGGCTTGTCAGCCACCACGAAGAGCAGGTTGGTGTTGGCCAGCCTCTGCGCATGGAAGAGCCTGGGGGTGCGACGGCAGTGAGGACACCAGTTACCCTGTGCCCCAATCCCCCCCTTGCCCCTGGTGCCAGCCCTGTTGAGCCAGCAGGGTGTCCAGGTCCCAAACCTCATCCCCGTCCTTGTCTCTGTCCCCAGCCTCATCCCCTTCCTCATCCCCATTCCAGTCCCCAACCTCATCCCCATCCCCATCCCGGTCCCCATCCCCATCCCCATCCCCATCCCCGTCCCCGTCCCCATCCCAGTCCTCAACCTCATCCCCAGCTCCATCTGCACCCCCATCTCCACCCCACTCCCTGTGCTGAGGGGCTGCCCAAGGAACTGGCACTGATGGGCTTTCACAGGGCTTGGTCCCACCTGGAGGAGCCCTGGGGACATCATCATCACCCCACTGCCCATGGGGATGCTACTGCTGCTCTCTGTCCCCCCCGTCTGGGTACCACAGCCCCCCCGAGCATTGCATGGCATCTCCCTTCACCCCCACAGAGGTGGCTGCATGGGGGTCCTGGCAAAACCAGCCCACCCGGGTGGTGGGACGGTAGGGACAGACCTACCTGGAGCAGTTGCCGCAGTCGATGATGGCGTTGTAGGTGGCATTGACGGTGCTGAAGTAGTACTGCGTCTGCTTCATGATGCAGCTCGTCTCCCTGGCCTCCATGCTGTCCCCCGCCACCTCCTCTGTGCCAGCACAGCGCCGTGGGCCAGGGGCCACAGACTCCCCCGCCATGCACCCCCACCACGTCCCCTGCCCGCCCCCAGCCCAGGGCTCCCCGGGGACTCACCCGTCTGGAACCAGCTGCTGTAGGTGAGGCCGTACAGGAACTGTTGGAAGAGGGACCTGGGGAAGGACAGCGTGGCCACGTCAGCTGTCCCAGTCCCTGGGACACGCCAGAAACAGCCCCCAGGGAGGGGATGTGGTGGGACTCACCAAGCTGCGGCTGAGGTCCACCAGGCAAGGTTCAGTAGATCGGCCACGGTGGGCTGCGGGCAAAGAGGAGGGCGGTGAGCTAGTGGATCCCTGTGCAGGGTGCTGGGGACACCTCCATGGGTGCCCGAGCTCCCGGACCACCTGGAAGCCACCATCCCCATGGGTGCTCACCACGAAGACGCCGCGGGGTGCGGCACCCGTGTTGCTCTGGGCCTCGGGAGCGCAGACGGACTGGAAGTCGTAGGACTCCTTGCGGGCGTAGAAGGAGTTGTTGTATAGGGCAGACATCAGGTTGGCATCCACCTCGCTGAAGAACTTGCCCACCTGGAATGGGGACACCGAGTCTGCACCAAAACGACACCTCACAGTGGGTCTCCCCTGGTCGGGGACTTGAGTGGGGCTGTGTCATGCCACCCGTGACATGAGCTCAGAGGTCTTAGCTTCGTGCTGGCATCCCATGCCCAGGAGAGCTGCCACGCGGGCACTGCTCACCTGGTACCAGTGGTCCTCCTGGTTGGAAAGCACCAGGAAGCCCCCATCATCGATGAGCACGCAGATGAGGTCCTGGGGAAGGAGGGTAGTGTCACCCAACCCCTGGTCGTGCCCAGGGCAAGTCAGGACAGGCAGGGCAGGGGGGTGATGGGCAGAGAGGCAGAGGGGCCAGCCGGGTGTCCCCAAGCCTGGGGGCTGCTCAGCAACATCTTGGTGGTGGGAGCACCTGTGCTGGGTGCAGGGAGCGGGAACCACCACCCACCCTAGGGGGGTTTAACAGTCCCCTGTCCATGGTCCAAGGGTGAACCCCCGGGGCTTCGTCCCTGCGAGGGGGGTGGGGGCTGGATGAGCTCTGGGAGCAGCAGGGGGACAGGGGACAGCAAGAGCAGGGCGGGAAGGGGACGGAGAGCCCTCCTAGCCATCCCCTGCCTGCCGTGCCCCGCTGCCCCCACCCCTGCCCACCACCCACCTTGTTGTTGGCCTCGCAGTCCATCTCGCAGCTGGTCGAGGGGTCGCACTGTCAACCGAAAGCAGGGCAGAGGGACAGGTTAGCAGGACCATCCTCCCCCCCCAGGAGCTGTCCTCCCGGCCAGGAGGGGACACGCGGAGTGGCGTCCCCAGAGATGCCCTAAGCAGGATGACGGGCAGGGCCGTGCTGGAGGTACAAGCCCAGCGGGGGCCATGGGCACTGTGTCCCAGCAGTGCTCCCCAGCCACGTCCCCAGCAAGCAGAGCTTCCTCCCTGTCCCCATCCCCATCCCCACGCCGTGCCAGCGCTGCAGGAGCCCCAGGGCACATACCCGGCGGGCGCCCAGCTGGTCGCGGTCCGTCCGGTTGCTCGCCAGCACTTTGAACTTCTCAGCCCAGGCCTCCAGGTCCAGCTTCACCCCCACCACTGGGACAGCAGAGGGACGGGGTGAGCCCCGATGCAGAGCAGAGGGACAACAGGGACCCCCCAGCCTGGCAGTGGAGCACCCAGCCCCCTGCCTACCTGCTGGCTTCAGCGTCTTGCCCCCGATGCTGAGCTCCACGGCTGTGCTCACCAGGATCCCGATGGTGTTGTTCTCCAGGTCCAGTCCCCGGTAGCCGGCTGTGAAGGGCAGGGGTGGCATAAGGGACAAGTGGGGCCAGCGGCAGCCTGTGCCACCCTCTGCTGCCCCCAGTCAATACCCACCATCCCGGTAGGGCGGCTTGAAGATGTAGCCCTTGTTGTCCAGGCTCCTCCGGTAGAAGCTGGCGTTGAAGGGCTCTGGTTCCTCCTCCCAGTCGTCTGCAGCTCTGGGGGGTAGCAGCCAGGGCCACGGCTGTCACTCAGCTCCAGTCCCACCAGAGATGGCCCCGTGGGACCAGACGTGTCACCACGTGGGACCTGGCATGCACGCACCCCCCAAACACTCACTTGTTAGGGAAGACACGGGTGATGCCCCCATCAGTGGCTGCGAAGACAGCCAGGAGGCTGTACCTGCAAGGAGAGGGGCAGGCACGCCAGCCATCAGCGGGGTTTGGCTTTGTCCCTGTCCCCATAGCCCGTCTCAGCCCTCTGATCCCCACTCTGTCCCTGGCCAGCGCTGCCTGTCCCCAGCCACCTCACCCCCACCTACGTGTTGAGGTCCTGGTCCTTCCAGACCCGCTCCACCAGCTGCTGCGTGATGCCCGTGTCCAGGATCAGGTTGTGCAGGAGGAAGTTGTCGCCTTGGGAGGAAGATGGAGAGGAGGAGAAGGAGAAGGTGAGGGCTGGCCCCATGGGGGCCACCCATGCCCCCCCCCCCACCATCCCGGCACCGGGTCTGCCGTGGCTCCCAGGACCCCAACCCCAGCACGGTTCACCCCTGCCCCATCTCCGCTCACACCCCCGTCCCCTGCAAACCCCCCTGCCAGCCACCCCCTCAAGCCATCCCCAGCTACTCACACTGCTTGGAGTCTGGGGTCACCTTTTCCATGAGGGCAATAAAGTTTTCCAGGAACTCGGTGTTGTTATCCGACAAGTCGAGGTCTTTGCAATACTCTCTGGGGTTTGGGGGACAAGGTTTGTCGTTCGCGGGGATGGAAAAGGCAAGGTCAGTTCTCCCCCGGGGACGGCGGGGCAGGCGCCAGCCGTGCTGCCAGCACCTTGGCTTGCCGAGGGACACGACGGTGGTGATGTGCCACCGCTCCCGTAAGTGTCACCCCGCCAGGGCAGCCGGCTGTGGGCATCTCTGCAGACTGCCCGGCACCCAGCCCTCTGCTGCCTGCAGTGCCGCCGGCTCAGCCGTCACACTGGCCACCGGGTCTGTCACTGCCACGGGCACCGAGGTGCCATCACCTCTCCCAGGGCCAGGTTTGATGGATCCCAGTTTGCCCAGAGCGGCACAATCCTGAGCCTGGCTCTCCCCATACTGGTGGGGCTACTGGTGGGACTGGGTGCC